TAGATAGGAGTGAATGGAGACGAATGGTACTTGGGACCTGACGATCTGTTGGAGTGTGAGCAGGGTAATATTTAGTGAAGGGATTCAGGGAAACCGGTTATTTTCATATAGTCGGACTTGAGTCCTGGAAATGGGAAGTACAATGCCTGCACTTTAAAGGAGGGGTTTGGGATATTGGCAGTTTGGAGGGATATGTTGTGTATCTTTATGTGTGTATGCTTCTAGACTGTTGTATTCTGAGCACCTCTGCAAAAACAGTGATAATGTGCGAGTGTGGTGAAAGTGTTGAATGATGATGAAAGTATTTTCTTTTTGGGGATTTTCTTTCTTTTTTTTTGGGTCACCCTGCCTCGGTGGGAGACGGCCGACTTGTTGAAAAAAAAAAAAAAAAAAAATGTAAATATGCAATAACTTTAAGACACTTAAAATTTTGGAAAATTTCCAGACATAATAGAGATATGTGCTCACGGAGAATGTAAATAAACCTGGTGGGGCACACCATATATGTAAGACCACTCACCGTATAGCAAATTTTGGTCATAATTTGAAATTGCTTTATTAGCAGAACGCCGTATGGTGAAACACCATGAACGGGGCCCTACTGTATATGTAATGTTGGTGTTGTAAGAAATATGTAGTCATGAAAACACACACACACACCCACTTGGGGGCGAAACAGTTACAGTAAGTCCTCGACTTACAAACATGTTGAAAATCTTATGTGTTGTGTGTAATATCATTGTTATACAAGTCCTCCATCTCAATCCGGCAATCAGTTATTCGGTTCCTTCAGTTATTTGGCACTAATTTTGGCTAGCATAATTTCAAATTTCCAGGGTCGCCACACCAACCTGCTGGTACTGTTTGGTGGCGCTACTTGCTGCATAAGTCATTCCAATTTCTTTTTCTCCATTTATTGTTTTAACCTGCTTACTTTTAGCCCTAGCCATGGTTCCAATGAATAAAAGAAATGCTTCTCATTATGTAAAGCACCTACACAGTACATTATCCATTAAAGATAAGGTGGCTTTGAAGCCACTGTCGGTTGCCATGAGCTCAGTCTCATGAAGCAGGAGAATATGCTTTATTATTACGCTAATATCAACACTACAGCTTATTTGCCTATCACAATTAATCTAATATGACATAATAAACTATATAAATAACATAAAACATGTTAAATACTCCAGAATGAATAATATTTGGCATAACACCGAGCAGTTCGACGAAGGTATGAAGAGGATATGGTATACAAATACCATTCTCCTATCCCTGTCTTGGTGGCTTATATTAGAGAAAACGGAGTGTAACACAGGGCTAACTGTGATATACACTCGTACTCCACCATAAACCTGAAACAGAAAAGTTATTTTCTCTCTATAGATTATCTCACACAGCAGCCTATGTATAGAGAACCTAGGATAACCCCAAAAAAAGTCAATGTGGCTTATTTTTAGTACCTGGCTTGGGTTAGCCATATGTGATTTTTGCTAAATATTCGATTCCCAGCCAGGGTAGAAACATTAGACGTGTTTCTTTACACCTGTTGTCTATGTTCACCCATCAGTAAATGGGTACTTGGGTGTTAGCCGACTTGTGTGGGTGTTATCCTGGGACACTGACCTAATTTTCTTGAAATACTCAGCATAACAAGCAGCTTTCTATACAGTAGTATGTCACTGATGTCAGCTAGGCCTGTATACTTTGTACATGTACTTGTAGTAAATAAAGATATTATTATTATAATTTTCTCAGTTGTTTGTTGGGTTATCTTATTCAAACTTGGACAATGTATGATGGAAAGATAATTCTTTACATACACCAAAAATGAAAGAAATCAGACCATAAATAGCGGAGTTCATCTCTCAGCCATTAGTGGCCGGTTAGTGGTATATTTTTGTATGGTTGTTATGGTTATATTCTCATTTTTTCGGTCTCATTTGATAGAATGAAAGATATATTACAGAAATAGATATGATTTTGATTGCTTTCATGACAAAAAGTACCTTGAAATTGCGCTCACAGTAGCGAAAATGTTCTATTCTTTAGCGAAGCGCGAGTAAACAAATGACGTCACCGTCCAATACCTTTCCATCTGCCTGTCTAAATTCCAGTACGGAGTCAAGAATGGCTTGACATTATTTATACAATTATTACAATAATGCAGCAGTCTGCATAACAGGAAATCTTCTATTTTTTTGTGAATAAAAATTCCAAATGAAAAGCAAGAGTAATATAAGAGGGGTCTGTAGCCATGACTAATGAACAGAGAAAATGTTATTTTAGTGCCAGGAATGTCTGCATTGTTTATTTTGGATCCTATTTTGAAATTGGCATCTGTTGAAATTTGTGTGAAATCAGCCAAATTGCCAATTTCTGACCACTTTATTGGGTAGTTGAAATAAGTGAATGGGCGGTTTCTTGTACTCAGTCGACAGACCAGAAGTAAATAAGTTTATTCAGGTATACACAAATACATTTACATATATTATCATACATAGCAGTGTATGTATAGAGAACCTGGGATAACCCAAAAAAGTCAGTGACTTATTTCCAGTACCTGGCTTGGGCTTGCCATATATGATTTTTTGTAAATGTTTTTTTTTTCTCGGTTGTTTGGTGGGCTATCTCATTGAAACTTGGACAATGTATGATGGAAAGATGCTTCTTAACGTACAACAAAAATAAAAAGATGGACAATAAATAAGGGAGTTCACTTCTCAGCCATTAGCCGCCTCTTTGCAGTATATTTTCATGTGGCTTTTATGGTTGTATTCTCATTTTTTTGGACTCATTTGATAGAATGGAAGATATATTACAGAAATAGACATGATTTTGATTGCTTTCTTGAGCTCAAAGTAGCGGAAATGTTCGATTTTTGCCGATGTTCAATGAACTGTGTAAGTCAAGTTGGTTAAATTTATTAAGTGTATTCTAACCTGACCACTCTGTAATTTGGCAAACTCAGTAATCCGGCACACTACATGTCCTAATGATGCCGGATTTGTGATGGAGGACCTGTATTATTATTATGTATAATATCATTATTATTGAAAGTGAACATAGATAAGAGTAAGGTGATGAGGGTATCAAATGATTTAGATAAAAAAAAATTGGATATCACATTGGAGGGAGTGAATATGGAAGAAGTGAATGTTTTCAGATATTGGGGGAGTTGACTTGTCGGCAGATGGGTTTATGAAGGATGAAGTCAACCACAGAATTGATGAAGGATAAAAGGTTTGAGTGGTGCATTGAGATATCTGTGGAAACAAAAAAACGCTCCTTGGCGGCAAAGAAGGGAATGTATGAGAGTATAGTAGTACAGTGGACCCCCGGTTAACGATTTTAATCCGTGCAAGAGGGCTCATCGTTATGCGAAATAATCGTTATGCGAATGAATTTTCCCCATAAGAAATAATGGAAATAAAATTAATCCGTGCAAGACGCCCAAAAGTATGAAAAAAAAAATTTTTTACCACATGAAATGTTAATTTTAATACACACAAACTGAAAAAGGCATGCACAATTACATGGACACTTACTTTTATTGAAGATCTGGTGATGATTGTGATGGATGGGAGGAGGGGAGAGCATTATCTTCTTACTGTTTAGAAGGGGAATCCCCTTCCATTAGGACTTGAGGTAGCAAGTCCTTTTCTGGGGTTACTTCCCTTCTTCTTTTAATGCCACTAGGACCAGCTTGAGAGTCACTGGACCTCTGTCGCACAACAAATCTGTCCATAGAGCTCTGTACCTCCCGTTCCTTCAAGACTTTCCTAAAATGGGCCATAACATTGTCATTGAAATAGTCACAAGCACGGCTTGCAACAGCTGTGTCAGGGTGATTTTCATCTATAAAGGTTTGCAGTTCAACCCACTCTGCCACACATTTCCTTAATCTTTGAAGTAGGCACAATGGATTCCACAACTGGCATAGGCTTCTCAGGGTTAGCCCCAAACCCTTCAAAATCTTTCTTAATTTCCATACTAATTCTCACCCTTTTTACCACAGGGTTGGCACTAGAAGCTTTCTTGGGGCCCATGGTCACTTATTTCCAGAAACAGCACCGAAAACACTGTAATAATACGAAATATTCCGAGTGTATGCTTGGATGTTACCGCGGAGGCTGGCTGGTAAACAATGGGATGGCCGGCACATGTGAGGGCACATTGGACGCGTCTCGGACGAAAATCGGTATGCGGGTTTTTAATCGGTATGCGCGGCAAAAATTTTGCGATAAAAGTAATCGTTATGCGGAAAAATCGCTATGCGATGCCATCGTTATGCGGGGGTCCACTGTACCAACACTCTTATGTGGATGTGAAGCTTGGGTTGTAAATGCTGCAGCAAGGAGGTGGCTGGAGGCAGTGGGGATGTGTCTAAGGGCAATATGTGGTGTAAATATTATGCAGAGAATTCGTAGTGTAGAAATAAGGAGGAGGTGTGGAGTTACTAAAAGTATTAGTTGGAGGGCTGAAGAAGGGTTGTTGAGGTGGTTTGGTCATTTAGAGAGAATGGAATAAAGTAGAATGACTTGGAGAGAGTATAAATCTGTAGGGGGAGGAAGGCAGGGTAGGTGTCGTCCATGAAAAGGTTGGAGAGAGTGGGTAAAGGAGGTTTTATGGGCAAGGGGCTTGGACTTCAGGAGGAGTAAATGGGGATGAATGGTTTTTGGAACCTATGAATTGTTGCAGTGTGAGCAGGGTAATATTTTATGAAGGGATTCAGGGAAACAGGTTAGCCAGACTTGAATCCTGCAAATGGGAAGTACAGTGATTGCAATGTTGAATGATGAAAGTTTTTTTCATTTTAAATTACCCTGCCTTGGTGGGAGATGGCCGACGTGTTAAAAAAAAAAATTATGCACAATGCAGAAGGTCCCAGTGTGTTTGTAAGTTCAACAAATTTGTCATCTAACATCGGGTCACTTTCCTACTATACAGGAAAGTGACCCGTTTAATAAATTAATTTTAACAAAAACGTCTTTGCTTTTCAGTGGTTTACGTGGCCCGAGGTGTTTGGTCATGCTCCAGATGGTGCAGGAGCCTACATTATCTCTTATATCTTCTATATAATGTGGTCACTGCTGTTTGCCTCATTGGCTGCATCTCTAGTCATGATGTTTGCTCCCTACGCTTGTGGCTCAGGAATTCCAGAGGTAAGTACTCTGTGTGTGTGTGGGTGGGTGGCTGATTGTGGGTGATTGTGAGGGTAATTGTGATTGTGTGGGTGACTGTGTGTGTGCATGATTGTGTGTGCATTCGTGCATGCATGTGCACGTGCACGTGCTGTAACACTGACATAAAAGTATATTGGTGCATGCAATACATGTGTTTTTTGTACAGCACGTGTGGTATACACGTGCTGCAGACCGGTGCTTACCAGACAAGTTGATATTGCAATAATGAATTACCAACAATATGTTAGGTAAAAGGGCACTTATGCATCTAATAAGACATTTTATTGTGGCAAATTTTCACTCTCCTGGAGCTTTGTCAAGCTTGACCCTTTCAGGGTTGACAGGCCCTCTCCCAGACTCGTTCTCAGGGTCGAGAAATTTAAAAAAAAAAAAAATTATTTTTTCTTATGAAAAGATTTTTTTTTTTTTTTTTTTCTAAAAATTATTAGCTAAAAAAAATTTTTTTGACCATCAATACTTACCAAGATATGGAGGGAAAAAGTTAACAAAAAGACCCCCTTTTTTGAATCATCGCCGACTGCCAATCCCCGGGGGGGAAATTTTTTCTTTTTTTTTTTTTTTGTATTTTCCCTATTTTTACTTTTTTTAAGTAATTGGGGCCTGTGAGCCCAAATATAACACTATTTTGTAATTTATTTTCTTTTTTATACACAATAATCCCAAAAGCACTGTTGTCACTACTTGTTTCCCAAAACTTTTTTTACCCCCAAAATGAACGTTTAAAAAAATGTTATTTATTACTATTTTTTATTTTTTATTAACTATACGTCACACAACATTTTTTTAGAAGTTCTGCAGTTTTGGGGAATTTTTGAAAAAGGTGTCATGCCAAAGTGTTTCCCTCCTCACACAAAAAAACGAGTGTGCTGCGTTGTTGTGGGTGTTTGTTTTTGTAGGGCACAGCGTAACACCTCTTTGACCCCTTTTTCTTGAAAAACCAGTGGGGCAGTTGTATTAGGAAGTGATCACCAGTTTAGACAAAAAGGTAGTTTTTTGATAATTTAGTGGGGGGTTTTTTCTGTTGCATTTTTTGTTTTTGGGACTTGAATACTATTTGTTGATGACAGACAAACAAAATTTCCATTGGTGGTTTGTTTCTGGTCCTCAAAACATATTAAAACATTGAGCAGGGAAAGTCCAGAAGAGGGAAAAAGAGTTTTATGTCCCCTTTAAAAACTCTTGCAAAACACAATCAAAAACCCCAATCGCATGTACATTTGTACTAAACCCCTATTAAAGGTGTAATCAATCACAGCTGCGGTTTTAGAATGGGTTCATTGGTCTCTCTATTCTCCCTGCCAGGTTTGTCATTTCATTGGGTGAATGATGGAACATTGTGACTTTCGTTGTCTTCCCACCGAAATGCCTGATGTCATTGGCAGCAAACCCCTGCACCCCCCCTCGAGTGCCAGTGTAAAACCCTGGGCATATGCTTATGATTTGCATGCACTGGCAAAAAACATTGTCAGGTTCACTCACAAAAAATCACTGATGAGGGCAAGTACCATTTTTTTTTTATTTTTCACACTGGCCGATTCCCCCCAAGGAAGGGGGGGCAAAAAAAAAAAAACTTTCACCAGTATAAATATATCCCCCTTCCAAAGGGGTTTTTTCCATCATTGTTCTAACCACATCCCCAGGATGCCCAATAATTTTTCCCGGGATGTATCTGCAATGTATAATTCCAGTGTAACAAAAAATAGCCAAAACAAACCACTGTAGACAGCACAAAGAAAAATAACTTTATCCCAAAGCTTTTTCCTCTTGCTTGGAATTTTTGCTTGAATGAGAGAGTTTCCTTTGAAAGCGAAAAACCATCAATAACAAGCTTTCCCGAAGGGAAAAAAAACATATTGAAATTTTCTTTCAGGTACAGAAACCATTCCCAATCTTATAACCTGTCGTTTTGTCAGGCCCGGTTTTTGTCTGAAAAAGGAACAAGTAATAGTGCACGACGATTCACTCGCATTATATCACGAATCCTGGGGGTTTCAAACAGGTGGTTTGTTGATGGGATGATTTTTTCTGTGCTTTTAAAACATGTGGCTAACATTATTTGGCAAAAAAAAGATCTCTCAGCCACAGTTGTCCTTTTCCCCTTGTGTGGCGGATTTTGGGGAAAAGTATTGTGTTTGCCATGGTGTGTCGAAGTATGTTTGCTTTCCCCTACAATAATTTTTCCCTCGGGGGTTTATCAAAGAAAAACTCGAAACATTCTAGTTCAGTGGTATTTTTCCCAAGTGTACAAGATGGGTTTTTTTCCACTTTGACTTTCATCAAAAAAATGGGGATTGGGAACAAAAAATTGTAGCTTCATCAAATCCCAGGTGCGGTCTGCTGGTGGGTTGGATATTGACAGGTGGGTTTTGGGGGCTAGTTGAGGGGGGGGGAGGTGGCCCTTTGTTGTAGATCCTGAGCAGCGGCGTGGGGGGAGATTGCCCACTGTGGTACCCCAGGGGCCGGCACCACCACTACCACACCATCACATTTTCCTCCCCCTTGCAAAAAAATATCATTTTCTTTTTTTATATTGTTCCTTTTGCCAGCCATTTGGGTGTACTCCCCTTTCCCCTTTGGGAAAAGCATATGGCACACTACCCGAGGCATATACCGTTGTTTTTCTGACGTTACTAGAATATTCCACTTCACTATGCACGGGAATGTTTTCAAGGCTTGTAGTTCATATTTTACATCACTATCTTCACAATGCTCAATTGATCCCGGGGTATGGGAAAAAAGGATTTTCCTCTTTGGGTTTTGGGACAACTGAACCCCGAAAGACGGCCCAGCAGCAGAGGGGAAGGGGTGAGGGGTCGTCTGGGTTTTCCTCGCTATTACCCGGGATTATGGTCATTAGTTTCTTTTCACAACCTCATCAAAACCCTTTAAAATCATCCAATGGCACTTCCCTCTGATTTGAACTGTCACTGGGGAAAAAAAGGCCAGTTCGTAGGAGTGAGGGGTTCTTACCGGAGGCATGGTGAAAAAGGTCTAAAAAAATGGCGTTCCCCAAGGCCACGGGTCCCTTTTTTTTTTACGTGCACAGACCACACACCCCCTTCTTCACATTAGGCACCCACCTTTTTCCCTTTTGATTTGAAGGGCAAGAATTACACTATATACTCAAAACCCCCGGGGCGTAAAACCGTATAACGTCGAAAAAACCCCGAAAAGGGTTAACAAAGCCCTTTGGGGAGTGAAAATTTTCACAATAAAATAAATATTTCAGTATCCTTTTCCTACAAATTAACACTGTGGGTGTTGTTGACCCACGTTGTGGATAGTAAAGTTTGGTGAATTAAAAAATGATTGATAATGCAGTTGATACTAGTGTCATTCTCTTCTTCAAAAAAAATGGTAAAAGAAAATTAAGTAATAAATTTTTTTTTCACCTCATGTTAAATTGTGCTTTGCCTGAGTTTAGAATTGATCTAAAAAAAAAAAAATGGTATTCTGGTGTTCATGCGAAGATGTGTTTGTGCAGCACTGAATGACCCTTATGGGTTTAGCACTTAGTTATGATTTTAATAATATTAGATGTATTGACACTGGTGAAGTCATGGCTTGTGGCCCTGCCTCTTACCTCTTATTGACAGGTTACATTGATTTTTCTTCACAGCCCAAGAATTGTAAATGATTAAAATATCTACCCTGTTTTCCAGCATATAAGGTGCTCTCTTCTTCCCCCCCAAAAAAATCTTTGAAGATCAGCCTGTGCCTTGTATGCTTAAGGTCAGGGTCAAGAGTAGGCTCTGGGTTATGCTTTAGCAATTGATTACTAGCTTGACATTATAACTGCTTGGAAACATCATCTTATATATCATATGCTTGTGTGCTCTGTATGCCAGAAAATACAGTACAGTAGGGTCTTGCTTTCGGCATTTCGCCTTATGGCATTCTGCTAATACGGCGATTTCAAATTATGACACACACTATTCAGCTCCCTGTCTTTCTAATACGGCGCACCCCACCCGGTTTGTTTACATTCTCTGTGAGCACCCTGTCTTGCCATTAGGTTTGAAAACTTTCCAAAATTGAGTTTTTTTTTTTTTTTTTTTTTTTTTTTTAAGTTACAGTAGACCGTCATTTAGCACGAGTTTATTTGGCAAGATTCCATAACTGGCCAGTCTGATATTCAGTCCCAAATGGGTTGACATTATTTATACAATTATGTAATAATGCAGTAGTCTGCATAACAGTAAATCTTCTATTTTTTGTGTGAATAAAAATTCAAAATGGAAAGCAAGAGTAATATGAGGGGGGCCTGGAGACATGACTAATGAACAGAGAAAATGTTATTATAGTCCCAGGAATGTCTGCATTGTTTATTCTGGACCCTATTTTGAATTTGGTATCTTTTGTATTTTGTGTGAAATTGGCCAAATTGCCAAATTCTGACCATTTTATTAGGTAGTTGAAATCGGTAAATGGGAGGTTTCTTGTACTCAATTGATAGAACAAATGTAGTTATACAGAAATGGCTATGAGTTTGGTCAACTGGAACAATGGAATTGGCCGAAAATAGGGCAAAGTAGGCGAAATCACTGATGCATATATTATATCACAGAGACCGCTTACTTCGCGAGAGCGTAAATCTGTAAGTTTTCCATCAGATTTTGTACTTTTGGTGTCATTACCATTGATAAAAGATTTTCTATCATTTCATAAGAAAAAATAATTGAGGCAGGTGTGGTGGCCTGGCTGGCTACCATACTTAGCACACCTAACTTCATACAATAAACACTACTCAGTTCTCACCCTACATTAAGACTACAAATATTTTGAGGTAAGTAATGAGTGTACTGTGTGTGTATATTTTGCTTTTTATTGTTAATGCCTTGTTCTATTGTTAATACAGTGGAACCTTGACTTAGGAATTTAATCCATTCTGTGACCTAGCTCTTAACTCAGTTTACTTGTACATGTGTATATCAAATTAATTTTCCTTATTTAAATTAATTGTAAAGCCATTAATCCGTTCCTGCACTCTGGAGACTAAGAAAAAAAATACAGTGGACCCCCGCATAACGATTACCTCCGAATGCGACCAGTTATGTAAGTGTATTTATGTAAGTGCGTTTGTATGTGTATGTTTGGGGGTCTGAAATGGACTAATCTACTTCACAATATTCCTTATGGGAATAAATTCGGTCAGTACTGGCACCTGAACATACTTATGGAGTGAAAAAATATCGTTAACCGGGGGTCCACTGTACTTGAATGTGACGCCATTATCAACTGTATGGCTTAATTATCTATCACAATTCAACTAGTATGACATAATAAACAATATAATGAACACAGAATCATGATATATACTCTAGAATGAATAAAATAGGCCATAGTATGGTGGCAGTGGCAGAAGCGTCCGCCATTTCTGTCCAACTTTGACTATATCATCTTCCCATGCTCTTACTGTAAGAGAAAACAGTATTTTTGAGGCTAACTGCAGTAGATCACTAGTTTTCTAAGGAAAACACTGAAATAATGTATTTTTAAATAAGAAATATCGTATAAAAACTGCTTATATAAAGTGTATGTGTACTTACACACTTGGAGCAGAGATGGTGGGGAGGTTGAGGGTGCGGCATATGATGTATTGCCTGATTAAGTCCATGGAAATCGTCCTTTTCTTCTCAGCACTCTTCTTGGCACTTATTTTCTTAGCACCCATGGTTAGAAAAGAGAAATTTGGCCAAATGACTGTAAAAGAATGCAAACAAGCACGAGAGAACTGCTCCCACAGCGATGTATAAACGTGTACTGCTGACCAGATGTTTTGCCATCAGCTGTGCCAACTAGCGGCAGCATTCTGAATTATTACGTATGTATTATGTATTATTTTAGCTAATTTAGGGAACTAAAGCTCTATCATTATTATAATTATTATTATTATTAATTTAGGGAACTGAAGCTCTATTGTTATTATAATAATAATAATAATATTATTAATAATTTAGAGAACTGGAGCACAGATCCAATTCCCTAGATCAAGAACCCCTTATGAGCATCAAGGCTCCTTGATGCTGGTAAGGGGCTCTTGATCTAGGGAATTGGATCTATGCTCTAGTTACCTAAAATAATATTAAAACTAATAATAATTATTATTATTATTATTATTATTATTATTATTATTATTATTATTATAATGAATACTGTAAACTCAGTGCACTGTTTACCTTGCTGTGGGAGCAGTTCTCATGCATTGCTTACATTTTTGACAGTCATTTGGCCAAATTTCATTTTGCTAAGCATGGGTCCTAAGAAAGTAAGTGTAAAGGACAGTGCTGAGGAGAAAAAGAGAACGATTTCCATGGAATTAAAGCATGAAATCATAAACAAGCAAGGTGTCCAGGGTTTGGGTTGAGGAGGGAAGGGGGGGAGCTGGCTCATAACTCAGAGCAAAAAATCGACCCAGGGATGGCTCGTATCTCAAGAAACTCGTACACTGGGACACTCGTAAGTCAAGGTTCCACTGTACAATGGACCTTCATGTTTCATCAACCACGACTTTCATGAAATCTGACTTTCAGCAATTTTTTCGCCAGAATTTAGCTTCGCGGTTCGTGATTGGACTCGTGATTCAGCAACCAATTCCGCTAAGCGACCACCCGTCAGCGCGCACACAAAGCCAGTCACAGTGTGCCATTGTTTACCAGTGTGTGACCATCACCCCACGGGTTCATACAATACATTTCGTAATAATGCATTTTTTTTTTTTTTTTTTTTTTTTTTTTTTTTTTTTTTTTTTTTTTCTCTCAACAAGTTGGTTGTCTCCCACCGAGGCTAAACTGCTAAATAAGTCACCATGGGCCCAAGGAAAGCTAGTGTCAGTCCTTTGGTAAAGAAAGTGGGGAACACGATTGAATTCAAGAAAGAAATCATTGAAAAATATGAGAGTGGAGTGCGTGTTACAGAGCTTGCCAGGATGTATGGCAAACCCCATTCAACCATCACTTCGATCGTGGTGAAAGGAAAGGAAATAGTGTGCTGTTGTTGCAAAAGGGGTAGCTATGCTGACAAAAAAGAGAAGGCAAACCCTCGAAGAAGTGGAAAGGTTATTGTTGGTGTGGATTACCCAAAAGCAGTTTGCAGGAGATAGTATTATGCAGTCAATAATATGTGAAAAGGCAAGGCAGTTGCATGACGATCTTGTAAAGAAAATGCCAGCAATGAGTGGTGATGCTTGTGATTTTAAAGCCAGCATAGGTTGGTTTGAGAGATTTAAGAAGCCTAGTGTCATATACAGTGTGGTAAGGCATGGTGAGGCTGCCAGTTCTGACAAAAAAGCGGTTGAGAAGTTTGTACAGGAGTTTAAGGGGTATGTAGACACTGAAGAATTCCAACTCCAACAGGTGTTTAATTGTGACGAAACAGGCCTCTTTTGGAAAAAAAATGCCAAAGAGGACCTACATCACGCAGGAAGAAACGGCACTCCCAGGACACAAGCCTATGAAAGACAGGCTTACTCTCATGTTTTGTAGTAATGCTAGTGGGGATTGCAAAGTGAAGCCTTTACTGGTGTATCACTCTGAAAATCCCAGAGTGTTCAAGAAAAAGTGTCGCCAAGAGTAATTTGTGTGTGATGTGGAAGACTAACAGTAAGGCATGGGTCACAAGGGAAATTTTCCTTGATTGGTTTAATGAAGTGTCTGGCTCAGTGTGAAGAAATACCTCCTGGAAAATAAATTGCCACTCAAGTGCCTCCTGGTAATGGACAATGCTCCTGCTCATCCTCCAGACTTGGAAGAACAGATGGTGGAGGAGTTTAGTTTCATCACGGTGAAGTTCTTGCCCCCTAATATAACAACTCTCATCCAGCCCATGGACCAGCAGGTCATTTCAAACTTCAAGAAACTGTACACCAAAGCAGTGTTTCAAAAGTGCTTTGAAGTGACTTCAGACACTGAATTGACCCAAAGAGAGTTCTGGAAAGATCACTTCAATATCCTCACTTGCATAAACCTTATAGGTAAGGCTTGGAAAGGAGTGACTTGCAGAACTTTGAATTCTGCTTGGAGAAAACTGTGGCCACATCGTGTACAAGAGAGGGATTTTGAAGGGATTGGGGCTGAGAGCTCATCGTATGCCAAAATTATCGGAAGGCGAATTAATTTTCCCCATAAAAAATAATGGAAATCAAATTAATCTGTGCAAGACACCCAGAAGTATGAAAAAAAAAATTTACGACATGAAATATTAAGTTTAATGCACACAAACTGAAGAAGACATGCACAGTTTGTAGTACTCTACTAACAATAGAATACATGACACTTGCCTTTAATGAAGATCTGGTGGTGATTTATGGGATGGGAGGAGGGGAGAGTGTCGAAGTTAATGTTTAGAAGGGGAATCCCCTTCCATTAGGACTTGAGGTAGAAAGTCCTTTTCTGGGGTTACTTCCCTTCTTTTAATGCCACTAGGACCAGCTTGAGAGTCACTGGACCTCTGTTGCCATTCCTTTAAGATTTGTCTAAAATGGGCCATAATATTGTCATTGTAATAGTCACCAGCACGGCTTGCAATAGCTGTGTTAGGGTGATTTTCATCCATAAAGGTTTGCAGTTCAACCAACTTTGCACACATTTCCTTAATTTTTGAATTAGGCACAATGGATTCCACAACTGGCATAGGCTTCTCAGGGTTAGCCCCAAACCCTTTATAAATACTTGACTGCAATATGAGCTACATTTTTTGTTAATTTATTTACAACAGAATCACTGCTGAGTTGTCTTATTATCCACTGTTCCCATCATCAAGATTAATCAATGTTTGATTTATATTTTTAGCTTATTAATATGAAATACAAAGTTTGGTTGCATAAGATAATTGTTCTTCAGTTCATTATGGTGTGAAGAGTGTTGAAGGCAGTTGATCTGCGAGAGAGAGTGCAGGAGGACCTTACATATACAGTACCTTTTTGGTGTTCCACCATTGTTCCACATGCCAGCAGGTGGAACAATGGCTCAATTGAAAGCCAACGAAAACATGGGACACCAAAAATAAGTGCTGTATGTGCATGGTCTTCCTGTATAGTAAGCTGAGCCAGGTTAAGACACTGGGGTGTCACTACCTATCCTTGTCTGCCATTATCCCTGTCTTCCCCCATAGCCATCCTTTCCCTATGGCTATCCATCCTTCCTGTCATGCCAGCCACTGGTATGTACTGGATGTGGATAGCTGCTGACAGAGTAACATGAATAATAAATATGCTTTGCCTATCCAATCTCTACCAAACATGTAATGGATGTGAATATAACCTACCTAGCATGAAGAAGTAGGTCTTACTGCAGTCCTCTTTTATTATTTTTGTCAAGTAGCTGGCTATGTATTCATTTATGTCTCATCTATTATAAAGTTTTCAGTCAGGTTATACTTGTGTATGAAGCTACATTTTGAAAGACGGGCATGCTATCCAACTGATATTTTGTTTTCCACTTCCAGATTAAGACTATTTTAAGTGGGTTTATTATTCGTGGTTACCTTGGCAAGTGGACACTGCTGATCAAGTCGTTAGGCATGATTCTTGCCGTCTCTGCTGGCCTCTCCTTGGGAAAAGAAGGACCACTGGTACATGTAGCTTGTTGTATTGGTAAGCTCTTCTCTGAGTACTGTAATGTGAACATTAGAACTGTTAATCATACACAGGAGGGCCCTGCATATACAGCTGTAAAGTGAAACTTAGCCTTTTTTTGCTTTCAAATGCATATAAAAGCCTGATAACATGTTTACAATATCATATATTAAGTGAACAATAGAGCTAGGCCTTAAAAATACATATACAGCACACACATTACTTACCTTAAAATATTTTTGTATTTATAGTGAGTGGTGAAATATTTATTGTAGGAAGTCTGAATAAATGAAGAATGGGTATAATTGAAAACTTCTGCATTAGCATAGCACTATAAACTGAAATGTTGTAAAGCAGGGCCTGCCTATATTTAATAAAAGGATCTCAGTTTTTATTTTTTATCAGCTATATCCCACCAACATAGGGTGACCTGTAAAAGGAAACATTTACCATCATTCAGTTAATAACTGTATTGCCAAAAGTGCATGGACATCACAAATCAGATGATCCTTTGAATTGCAACATAACCACCCTGTATTCAAAGTGGAAGCAGTGTACCTCCCACCTCCAGAACTAAAGTCTGGCTTACCAGTTCCCTAAATTCCTTTATAAATGTTACTTGACTCTCACTTCAGCAGCACATCATATCGTATACGAATGGTAGGCAATACCGACAAGATGAGCAGTTAGACTTGTGCAACATTGGGGTATCTTTAATTTGTAGATATTTTGCCATCCAGTGGCTGGCAAAACATCTACAAATTGAAGATACCCAGATGTTATGTTGCACATACGTGTAATTGTTCAGCACATCATGTCCTTGAAACCACTTGTCTCCACTCACCATCTAACATACTGACATGTCTGCAGTTACTCAAGCCCATACCATGTAAAACCTTCACACCCTCCATCTGATCCTTCCTGGTATGTTCCCTTATGCCCTCCTTCCTTCCTCACTGGATTTATGCACCATCTTGGATATCCTATTCTGCTTCATCCTCTCTAAATTTTATTTTGTCCAGTAAACTTAAAACTAGGGAATACTTTATTGATAACATTTGTAATCACCCCATGAGAAAGTGGAGAAGAATCCTTCCTCCGTAAGCTGTGTGTTTTGTAAGAGGTTACTAAAATGCCGGGAGCAAGGGGCTAGTAACCCTTTCTGTATAAATTTCTAAATGTAAAAAAAAATAGCTTTATGAAAACTTTTTTTTTTTCTTCTTTTTTTGAGTCATCCTGCCTCGGTGAGAGACAGCTGATGTGTTAAAAAAAATTGTGATTACCCATTTGTATCTACAAGAGCTGATGTATGTTTTTGTTTCTATCATCAGTTTTTATCTTTGTGGGTTTGGAAAGGTCATATGATAGGGTGTGTAGAAAAGCAGTGTGGAAGATGTCAAGGTTCCTTGATGCTGGGGAGGGGCTCTTGATCCAGGGAATTGGATATGTGCTGTAGTTCCCTAAATTAAGAATAATAATAAAAATAAAATTATTATTATTATATAATAACGATAGAGCTTCAGTTCCCTAAATTATTATCAATAATAATTATTATTACAGTTACGTACGTATTATGTACATAATAAGTACATAATAATTATGAATGCTGCCGGGAGCTGCTGTGGGAGCAGTTCTCTCCTGCTTTGCTTACATTTTTGACAGTCATTTGGCCAAATTTCACTTTTCAAACCATTGGTCATAAGAAAGTAAGTGTAAAGGACAGTGCTGTGAAGAAAAAGAGGATGACGTCCATGGAATTAAAGCATGAAATCATAGATAAACATGAGGAAGGTGCACGAGTTGTGGATTTAGCCAGACAATACCAGCAAAGTACATCTACTATGTATGAGATACTAAAGCAGCAGGAGTCGATAAAAGCTATAGTGCCAGCCAAGGGCATTACAATAATGTCTAAGCTGCATACCTCTGCCCATGAAAAGATGGAGAAGCTGCTGCTGACGTAGTTGAGAGAGAAGCAGCTCGCAGGAGATACCGTGACCGAGGGTATCATCTGCGAGAAGGGACGAGGCAGTGAAAAGTAAGAACAAGTGAAAGAAGTGAAAAGTTAAACAAAACAAATTGTATCTGTTATGTTCAGTGATTAAACAAAACAAATTATATCTGTTATGTTCAGTGATTAAACAAAACAAATTGTATCTTGTTATGTTCAGTGATTAAACAAAACAAATTGTGTCTGTTATGTTCAGTGATTAAACAAAACAAATTGTATCTGTTATGTTCAGTGATTAAACAAAACAAATTATATCTGTTATGTTCAGTGATTAAACAAAACAAATTGTATCTTGTTATGTTCAGTGATTAAAAAAAATTAGCACAGTTATGTTCAGTGATTAAACAAAACAGGTTGCTGTTATGTTTTCAGGATTAAACATAAACAAATTATAATCTGTTATGTCAGTACTAACCACACAACAACATTGATCTCTGTCTATGCTCAGTGATTAAACCAAACAAATTAGCTGCTGTTATGTTCAGATTAAACAAAACAAATTGTGTCTGTAGCTCATGATTAAACAAAACAAATAGTGTCGTTAGTCAGTGATTAACAAAACAAATTATATCATTATGTTCAGTATTAAACAAACAATTAGTATCACCTAAGTCACTAAACTAACATTGCACACTAACTTAACTTATCAACCAAACAGTCTCTTTCTACCTTACACACCACTCATCACTACACCACACTCAGATCCTCCCACCCTCAACCTCCCCTACACTCTACCTCCTCCACCCTCAACCTCCCCTACACTCTACCTCCTCCACCCTCAACCTCCCCTACACTCTACCTCCTCCACCCTCAACCTCCCCTACACTCTACCTCCTCCACCCTCAACCTCCCCTACACCCAAACCTCCTCCACCCTCAACCTCCCCTACACTCTACCTCCTCCACCCTCAACCTCCCCTACACTCTACCTCCTCCACCCTCAACCTCCCCTACACTCTACCTCCTCCACCCTCAACCTCCCCTACACTCTACCTCCTCCACCCTCAACCTCCCCTACACTCTACCTCCTCCACCCTCAACCTCCCCTACACTCTACCTCCTCCACCCTCAAACCTCCCCCTACACTCTACCTCCTCCACCCTCAACCTCCCCTACACTCTACCTCCTCCACCCTCAACCTCCCCTACACTCTACCTCCTCCACCCTCAACCTCCCCTACACTCTACCTCCTCCACCCTCAACCTCCCCTACACTCTACCTCCTCCACCCTCAACCTCCCCTACACTCTACCTCCTCCACCCTCAACCTCCCCTACACTCTACCTCCTCCACCCTCAACCTCCCTACACTCTACCTCCTCCACCCTCAACCTCCCTACACTCTACCTCCTCCACCCTCAACCTCCCCTACACTCTACCTCCTCCACCCTCAACCTCCCCTACACTCTACCTCCTCCACCCTCAACCTCCCCTACACTCTACCTCCTCCACCCTCAACCTCCCTACACTCTACCTCCTCCACCCACCTCCTACACTCTACCCTCACCTCAACCTCCCTACCTTACCTCCCACCCTCAACCTCCCCTACACTCTACCTCCTCCACCCTCAACCTCCGCTACACTCTACCTCCTCCACACTCAACTTCCGCCACCATCTCTGCTCCTAGTGTGTACGTACATAAACACTTTACATAAACACTTTATTATTTCTTAACATTCCGTAGTGTATTATGATTTATTATGTGTTTATATATGATATTTTCAGTGTATTCCTTAGAAAACTAGTGATCTACTGCAGTTAGCCTCAAAAATACTTCATTTTCGCTTAAAATAAGAGCATGGGAAGATACTATAGTCATATTGGATAGGAAATGTCGGATACTTCCGCCGCTGCCTCTGCCACCATATTATGGCCTATTTTATTGATTCTAGAATATATATCATGTTTCTGTATTATATTGTTTATTATGTCATATTAGATGAATTGCAATAGATAAATAAGCCATATAGTTGATAATAGCGTCATATTCAAGTATTTTTTCTCATCTCGCCAGAGTGTAGGAACGGATTAATGGCTTTTCGGTTAATTTAAATGAGGAAAATTAATTTGGTATATGAGTAATTGAGTTAGGAGCTGGCTCCTGGAACAGATTAATCCTTTCAGGGTCCAGAGGCCAAATTTCAGTGTGCACCAGGGTCCAAGAATTTAAAAAAAAAAAATTTATTTTTTCTTATGAAATGGTAGTGAATCTTTTTGTGAAGGTAATAAAACAAAAAGTACGAAATTTGATGGAATTTTGACAAAATTATTCTCTAGCGAATTTTGATGCGTCAGCGATATTTACGAATCGGCGATTTTGCTGATTTTGACTCCCATTTTAGGCCAGTTACATTATTCCAGTCTACCAAATTCTTAGCTATTTCACTAGTATTACTTCTATTCTATCTATTGAGCACAAGAAAAAGTGATCGGAAATAGGTAATTTGGCCACTTAACACAAAGTTCAAAATATTCCAATTTCATAATAGGGTCCAGAATAAACAATACAGGCATTCCTGGCACTAAACTAACATTTCCTCTGTTATGTTATGTTATGTTTTCAGGTTTTACAAATGAATTCCATTTTTATTTTTTATTCACATAATGAATTTTTATTCAAACCAAAAAATAGAAGATTTACTCTTATGCAATACAGTGGACCCCCGCATATCGACTTTAATCCGTGCAAGAGGGCTCATTGTTATGCGAAATGATCGGTATGCGAATGAATTTTCCCCATAATCTTTCAGTGGGCTGCGGAAAACAATATGAAGTTCAACGATGAGAAATTTCAATTACTCAGATATGGTAAACATGAGGAAATTAAATCTTCATCAGAGTACAAAACAAATTCTGGCCACAAAATAGAGCGAAACACCAACGTCAAAGACCTGGGAGTGATTATGTCGGAGGATCTCACCTTCAAGGACCATAACATTGTATCAATCGCATCTGCTAGAAAAATGACAGGATGGATAATGAGAACCTTCAAAACTAGGGAGGCCAAGC